GACAAACTTGGCAGACCAAAGTCATCTCCATCGTCATCCTCATAGCCCATCATGTCGTCCTCGTCTGCTTTCCAGTCATCGTTGGTGTTGGAGAGAAAGTTGATATAGCTCTTGTATGGAGGTGAACCATTCTTTCCAGGTGTGGTCTTCGGCGGTGGAGAAGCTTCTTGAATCCGGATCTTAGCTGAAGAAGAAGAAGGAGGTGTTCGTGGTCGAGACGAGTTGGAGAGGTTTCTGGCGATTGACATCAGCAAACAAGAACTAAGCTTTGAGCAGGGTCAAGCCAACGGACAAAGAGTCAAATTTGAGCATATCCGCATGCGAATATGAGGCGCCAACAACAAGACCTGAGCCATGGCCCGTGGGCGACGTGATGTTTCTCTTTGGAGTAGAGTTGTCTCGTGGTGGCGGTCTCCAAAAAGGCGATACGGACCTAGTTGTATAAGCTTCAGCGCACAAGCTTGGAGGGTAGGGAACTCCATGTCAGCTAATACATACTCTGATCGGTCTGCCTCGAAGCAATCGAGCTTCTATCAGCAAATATTCGACATCTCACAACTCCTCGCTGAACATACCGACTTGGACCATCTCCTGCGGCGGTGGGGCTGTTAGCAGAGGCGGGCGCCATTACGTCGAGTCTTGTGAGCACAGAGAGCTTCGACGCTGATAGTCATCACTTACAGATTGCGCGGGCTTCTTGCCGCTCCCAGATGACGACCACATGGTTCGCTGAAGAGGAAAAGAGGCCGTGGACAAGAGTCTTGGAAGGTATTTTACATGCTGCGATGTAACGCGACGCAATGATGTTGTGAAGTGCAAGAAAGTCAGTAGGTTGGGTTGGTCGACCTATTCTGCTATGGATCGATCAAACATAATAGAAACGGGCTTAATTAGGCTGCCCTGGCTCAACCACGAGATCACCCCGCAAACAGCACTACCATGGCTTGGAAATAGCGGGTTCGGACGGGTTCATAGCGGGGGTGTCTGCTAATTGAGGACTGTGCCTTGACCCTGTGGCCTGGGCTCAGCTGCCCGGCCTCGGGGCGGATTACTCGCCCAACAGGCGGCACGAGCCTGGGTACGGAGTACGAATACAGCCCAGAGCAATTCACCAACGAGCGCATGTGGTTTGAGCCAGATTAACAAAACCTGCCTTTCCATGTAATGCTCAAAGACAAGTCAGGCTTCTTGACAATGGAGCTTGGAGAGTATGTACATGGAAATATAGGGATTGTAACGGAGAAGCATAAAACTGTAAGGGCAAAATGCTCTGAAATGGTAGGCAAGAGTTCAATTTTGAATATCATCTTCAAGTTCATTATCTTCCAAGTCTCAGTGATATTAGCATTTGGATTTTGAAAAGGTCCCGAGACTCGGGTTCTTGTTTATTTGTAGTGGTGCTGATTTCTGATTGGTCCACTTTTGGCTTAGTCAGTAAAGTCAGTCAGGCTTTAGCTTCGCGGCTCGATAACCTAGTACCTTTCTTTACCTTCATGGTTCAGTCGCCTCCTCTTCCTTTTCTTTGACTCTTGGTTCGACTTAGTTCTCAATTTCAATTGCGCATCACTTCTCACCTGCCCTTGTTCACCCATAACAGCTTTCTAGTGTCGAGTGCGCGAAACCCGTCGTTCGCTTCTTTCGCGCTCCCTCATCTTTCGAACTTCTTATCACGAACACGCGCCAAACCTCAACCGTCGCCATGACGGAGCCCGAGAACTTCGAGGATGATCTCTTCGCCGACCTGTAAGTATTGATTGCAACATAAGCAGCGAGCATAAACACTCTGTGCGTCTACCTGGGATACTGACTCTTAGACAGCTACGATGACAACGATGCCACAAAGCCAGCGTCTGCTCCCGCCGCAGCAGCCCCCCCTGCCCCAGAAGTTCAGCCTCCTACTAACATTCACAACAACGACAATGATGAGCATAACGGGATGCAACAACATCAAGAAACAGGGGGTGATGAACACATGACTCAAGATCAAGATGACGACGATGATGATGTCGATTTTAATCTCGGTGGAGGAGGATACGGCGGATCCGGTCACACAGGCCAGGCTGATATGCATGACGATGCTCCAACACCTCCATACGGAACTGTACACAAGGCGAGTGCCAAAGAAGATGGGTAAGTCTACACTGTTTCTGCATTGTGATTACATTTCTTGAATTCGCTCTTGCGAGAATATCACGGTTTGCCTTGCGTGTTCACAACCCTGAATCCTCATGGCAACTGCCACGTTGCCATGTAGTAGTGGCCATCGGTTTAGCATTTGCATACATTTCGGAAGTTGGCTTGGCTAGAGAGGGTCGTGGTCAAATTAAGAAAAAGAGGTTTTGCTATCGGAGACATCAAACGGCAAAGATTCAGATTGGAAGAGTTATCATTACTCATTCAAGAGGATATGTGGATCAAGAGATATAACCGGTTGAGGCGAGTCCGCTGCTATTGTCTATGGGCTATGAGAGGAAGAGGAGGATGTCACAATCGGTACTGGGATACGCCCTGTGGACATCCCAAGATGAATCATTCGGCACTAGTCCAGACGAAAGACACTACTACTTGAGTCTTCCATAGCCCTCAGTCGCAGAGATCTTATTGAACCGACGGGAGTGGTAAACACTCTCGAGTGCTATAGCGAGATTCGCAGCGAATAGCGCTCGAGGCCAGTACCTAGCATGAGACAGAGACAGAGAGAACAGTCAAGACGATAGCACAAGACGAAATTTTATTCGACCAAGCTGATCTGGCATCTCTCATTGCAATGTCTGCGCCGTACTTTCGACTGTCATGGCCGTTTGGTCAACGTTTGTCAACCATGGTCCTTGTTATGTTGGCCTTGATGCATCCACACGCAGGGATCTTACAGAAATTGCCGCCAACATCAAGCAAGCCGAAGAAATGGGAACTTTCAGATCAATCGACCTCCTGCTGGGCTGTGTCTTCTCTGCATGCACCCATATTGCCCTGCACGGCCCATTTTTTCAAGGATACAGACTCCTTCATCACATTGCAATCGCCAAACCGCAGCCATCTGTTTTTCTGCTGTATCAGGCATTCAAGTCTCGATTGTCAGCCCTTTTCTCTAAGCCAGGGTTGAGGTTTCAGCAAACTATTGATTATTCGCAAATTCGCAGCCCTTTCTAAGCAAGCCACTTCACCATCAGCCTGGATCCTATTGTTCTATCAAGCCTAGGAGACCCGTGTTTAACAGCCTTGATATTCAGAATGCATAAACAACTCTAAAATGACAAGTATACTGACATGTTTGTATAGTAAAATGTTCATCGGCGGTCTCAACTGGGAAACCACCGACCGTAAGTAACAAACACATGCAGCTCTCCAAACTTGTACTAACGATTGTTGGCAGAATCGTTGCGGGATTACTTCTCACAGTTTGGTGAAGTCGTTGAATGCACAGTCATGAGAGACAGCAGTACCGGCCGGTCGCGAGGATTTGGTTTCCTGACTTTTAAGGACGCCAAGACAGTCAATATCGTCATGGTCAAGGAACATTTCCTTGATGGCAAGATCGTAAGTCATATATCTTGACACATGGCCAAACTCACCACTCTAATTGCGTTGCAGATCGACCCCAAACGTGCCATTCCCCGAGACGAACAAGAGAAGACTAGTAAGATCTTCGTCGGAGGTGTCAGCCAGGAAACCACGGATCAAGAATTCAAGGAATACTTTGCACAGTTCGGCCGCGTTGTAGATGCGACTCTCATGATGGACAAAGATACCGGCCGTCCACGAGGATTTGGGTTCGTGACGTTTGAAAACGAAGCCGGCGTTGATGCCTGTATCAACGTGCCACTAGAAATTCACGGAAAACCCATCGAGGTCAAGAAGGCCCAGCCTAGGGGTAACCTTCGAGAAGAGGAAGAGGCATCACGACGCGGCAAGTTCAGAAAGGACGGCGACCAGTCAAGCCAGGGCTCCATGGGCCAACAGATGGGCAACAACGGCATGACACCCCAAGTCATGGCCCAATACTTTCAACGTATGCAACAGTACTTCGCTATGATGCAGTCACAAATGGCCATGAGCCGAGGAATGCCCATGAACCCAGCCATGTGGCAGAACATGATGCAGATGCAACAGATGCAACAACAGATGATGGGTCGAGGAGGCGGCGGTGCCAATGCTCAGAACATGATGCAGAACATGAACCCACAGATGATGCAGCAGATGCAGCAAATGCAGCAACAGATGATGCAACAGCAGGGCCAGCAAGGTGGTCAAGATGCTGCTTCCGGTAGTGCTAGTCCCACTGCCTCTGCCAGCGGCGGCGGTGGTCGAGGATATGACAACAACAACTATAATCAATACCAACAGGCTCAAGGAGGTCGTCGTGGAGGCCGTGGAGGCTACGGCGGTCATGGAGGACATGGAGGATATGGTATGGGTGGAGGAGGCGGAGCCCCTACTTCATGGGAGGGCATGTATGACGATGTTCCTCAGCCAAACTCCAACCAAGGCTCAGGTGGCTTTAACCGTGCTGGCAGTGCCAGTGCGAACTCTGACCCGCAACATGCACCACCCGCCAATGCGCCTACGGGGCCCAAAAACGCTGGTAAACCTGGAGCTAATTATCGTGGTGGAGGACGGGGTGGAAACCGCGGCTTTCACCCTTACTCACGATAAAGACTTCCCACCAGAATTTGCCAGTAGCAAGGAGGGTTTGGAAGACTTTGGAACGCCGCCAGGATTCCGGCGAAGTGATGGGAAGGAGGACGGTGTCAACCATGTATAATAATGCGGAACGGTTGTTCATTCCGCATATATTTTCTTTTTTCTTTTTCAGTATTTTGGTTTGATTGGGCGGCTTTCCATTGCTTTTGTTCATCAAGATGCAGCCAGGTTCGGCTGATACAAGGGGCCCAAATATGGGGGTGGTCGGTCTTGCGAGGGCACTGCAATAATTAGAAATCAAATAAGCCCAAAATTGGTCTATTGAGTCATTATGTGTGCATTCGTTTTCGTAATGTTTACTGGCATAGGCTCTGCCCGATATGCAAAGGTGTTTGAGATTAGTCATAAGACAGCTAAGGCAAATACGTTCAGAAAATAAGGTAGGTAGTGAAAGTGATATATATGATAAGTAGTTGAAATGAAGCGCTATAACCTTATCCTTCTTCTTAAACTTCCAGCCCATCCATGCTGGCTTCGGTGCCACTACCGACGTCACACGTAATACATAGCTAAGTACAGTTTCTCTTTTTTTCTTCGTCTGTCAAGCATCATCACATCCAAGAACTCGTCTATCCCGGCGTATGCCCGGTAATTCCACAATGCCTGCCAAAGCTTCCTTACGAAACAGATCACAAGGTGCGTCTGTGAAAACAGCAACACTCGAGTTCTGTTAAATCGTCTATTTACTGGGCTGTCAGGGAGAAGCAAGTGTTGCATCGCATGTTGAAGGCAAATTAATCCCACCAGCGCCAAACGACCCAGGTCTGTCCACTCTTGGGACTGAAGCAAATACCCAAAAGTTCGTGCATGTTAGCGAGGGGGTTCCCTATGGGGGCAGACAAAGAAGTCGCTGTCTCGCGGAAACTACACAGCAATACAACTGAGTGCAGTTTAACCCTTTCCAGTTCAGTGTCCCTGCTGAAAGTAATGTCGTTATCGTCTACTCTTGGCCAAAACCCATAGTTTCCTCAACCGCGATGGTAAGCTTTTGCTGAAGCATTTCTAGACTCTTATAAGGAGGCAAGTCGAGTCGATTGAAACTGTTGATGAGTCAGTGATTTGATCTCAGAGTCAAATATCATATTCAACTTACCATGTGTGCGCCTTTGGCAGATTTGTGATTTCTCCCGCCTTCTCAATTGTAAATCGTCGTGGGCCGTCGCTACCTTGGAGATCCTTGAAACCATTGACTGGGATTCGAGAAGTACCTGTAGTAAATTGTAGTAAACGGGACTTCTGCTCGCCATCCCACGAGCGTACTGTTGCCCAGAAGTTCTGCACGACCTCATCGGATTCGGTATATCCTCGATAATCGGTGTGCTTCTTCCAGTCGTCGACATCAATTTCGGCAATACCTCCAATCAAAAGCTCCAGCTCGCGCTCATCAAAGACATTAATAAGATCCTGAGGGATAAGCTCTTGGAATCCTTCCTTGAAAGCCTGGAACTGCTCGGCGATACGTTTCTCGATGCGCCACTTTACCATGAGATCAACATATTCCTTCTTGTTCTCATTGGTGACATCAATATTGCGACCATCAGGGATGAGATCCTCAGTAGTCATCACTCCGAATCTCTCGTCTTCGGTCGAGAAAGTCTGCTCAAGAATCCCGCCTGATATGTCGTTATCCAGCATCCACTGCAATGATCGGTGGAAATCGGCATCCACACCCTCCATATCAGCCAAAGCCACCGCTTTGCCAAGCATCATCTTGTACAAAGCGCCAATAAAGAAGGCGTCCAAAAATCGCCTGTGGAAGATGGCCAAGCCGACAACACGGCCAATGAACTTGAAATAGTTGAGATGCTCTGGGTTGATACCGGAATGTGGGTTAATCTGCAGGGTGTAATTATCGTGGGCGGAGTATTCGAATAGGCAATAGAAGGGGTTGAACATTTCGTGAGAGAGAAGGAAAAAGAATTCTCGAGAGAGACCACCGTAGTCCAAACCATCCTCGCCATCGAACTTGATCATAAGTCGTTTCTTCAAATCCGTTGCGGACTGGCGTGTGATCTCGGCAAAGGAGTCCTCGAAGATGTGAGATCGTCGCACCTTGATATGGCACTGTCCACTGAGAATTCGCATGGCTGGCTGTGAGCGGAAGTAGATGAGCTTCCGTCTGAAGTCTCGCTTGTACTGAGGAACATTCTGGTCAAGAGACGATGGGAGTCGAGGATCGTCCCAAGTCGTAGTCTTGGTGTTATGATCAACAAAGTACACCCGAGCAGTGTTTGTCAAGCGCATCTCCCAGCCACTAGGCAGAGGACCAAGTTGTGATACGGGTTGCTGCTGAATCTGGCCGTTGGCATTATTCTGACCGCCATACATGCGGATGTATTGTTGGCGACGTGGATCTACCCAGGTCGTTGTTCTTGTATTGTGATCAACAAAGTATGGTCGACCTTCTGGGGTCCACCGTTGCTCCCAGCCAGGCGGGAGTTCTCCCGTACCAGGGCTCGTCGCTCCAGTATGCATCACTGCGCCACCATTAGTAGCTGGTGATGCTGATGGCTGGGGCTGCTGGGCGTGCAGCGTCGGTGAATTGGAGCCGGTTCGTTCTTCGGGCAGAGTGCGGTTCTGATGTCTCTGACGCTCAACCTGGGTAGCTGCTTCTCGGTCGTTTCGTTGTTCTTGGGCGCCAGAAGCAGTGGGTCGATTCCAGCTCGTTGTGCGGGTGTTGTGATCGACGTAGTAAGTACGGCCGAGATTGTCTTCTCGGCGCTCCCAGCCAGCGGGTAGTCGCCCCTGGGCATCTTCGAATGGGCTGAGTTGATTGCTTTGTCGAGTTTGTCCGGAAGCATTCGGTCCTGGAGCGCTGGCGCCACCAACAGAGTTGATGCTGGATGGACGATGGGCCAGGTTGACTTGTGAGCCACCCGCGCCATTTGGTCCAGACAGTGAAGATCCTGGTCGGTTTTCCGGTGGAGGGGCGGAGAGGTTCGAAGCATTCGACGGGCCGGTGCCGAGAGATGGTCGTGCGGTCGATGCCTGGCCACCGCGGGCTGGTGCACTGAGATTGCAGGACAGGTTAATAATAAGTTTGCCGTGGACGACGAGGTTATCGGTTGATTTTTTGAGGTCTCGTGTAAGCATCTGGTCTGAAGCGCATGTCAGAAAGCTCCTTCACGTTTTCTGTTGTGGGATCAAGTAAACTGACCATCGGCATCTGGGCTGAGCTCAGGGATGACATCTCCAACGCGAATGTTTATGACGCCTAGGAAACCCTGGTCCTTCTTCTTAAACTTCTTTTGGTCGAAAACTTGAACTGCAAGAATGCCATCTTCATTGGTGCGACTGATAAACTCGAGTTGGTTAAATTCTTTGTCTAAAGCGGCGGGGTACATTACAAGTCAAAGCTCTCGTTCCAGTATGGGTTTAGAGTTCTTTTGCTGACAGTCGTCGTTTTGGTTTGCTCCCCGTTGATGGTCGCAACAGCGAAAGGGTCAGGAAAGCCTGATTCAAGTTAGCGGATAGGCCGAGCGAAGTTTCGGATTCTACTACGTACGGAAAACATCCCTCTTGTATAGGCCATCGGCGGCGATAACTTGGATGATGTCAATATATCAAGTCGAACGGTGGGGTAGATTGATTAGCTGTAACTCACTGGTAACCCGAAGGTTGGGCCTGCTACAAGGAGCATTAGCACGGTCACCGTAGTAGCAGTGAAGAGGGAGATGGGTAAAGGGTCAAGCTGAAGGTGAAGCTGGACGCGATGCGATGGGCGAAAGGCTGGGAATGGACTTACTTAGAATCGGTGCGACTGGTCATGGTGTCACCTCTTGCGCTGCGCAGCGAGGGACTAAGTCACAGCGACGACAATGATAATAATCGATACTTCTGAGGTGAAAAGTAGAAATAGGTTCGGAGCCAGACAAATGCAATAAAGCCTTGTCGTGGAAGGCGCTCGCGGAACGTGATCAGTGGAGGTTGAAGGGTTCACTGAAGAAAGTTGACGACGCTTGGTTTGGGGCAATGGGGGGAGGTTGAGGCTGTGCACGGGCGGCCCAAAAGACCCAAGACTGAGAGGCTAAGGCCAAGACACGGACTCCCCGCTTCCAGAGCGAGAACGACAGCGGCCGGAACGGGAAGATCCAGGGTAGGAGTAGTGATCCTGAGGCTGTTGTGAGAAGCAAAGCAAGACAAACCACGTTGCCGTAATTGAGCTGATAATATTTGTGAATTAGCGACGAAAAATGGTGAGAGACAGGCTCGTAGATAGAGTTGATCGCCACGAACTGTTTTGTGTGGGTTCAGTCTCAATACTCTCTGTCTCGTGGTTGGCGTTGATGATGCTAGAAGGATAATCAATCGACCCGACCTGGCCTGAGTAACCTTGGAGCCTTGTAACTCGAGTACGGTTTCATGGGCTGGGGTGCAGTCGGTGGGGGTACTCTTCTGATTGTTAGTCCTGGCAACTTGTTTGTTATGTAGCTGCTACGTGCATGAGTTTTATAACACGGTAGTCGTGCTCCTCTAAGTCCATGCAAGTGTAGAATATATACAACCATACTTAAATCCAGCACTTTATTAGACACTTCACCAAGCAACAAAAGGCAGCTCACCAAGTGCCCATATTACCAAGATCAAAGGAACCCTTCCAAGAACCTACCCCATCAGTCAGGGAGCAAGAAAGCATCCGTCCTCAAAATAGGGTGCCAAAATGGATTTATCAAAAGTCCTCATAAGCTTCTACTAAGCTTAACACATATCTTTTTGTCTCTTAGGATCAAGTTCCTATTTTTTCTTACATCCTTGATTAGCCCGTACTCTTTAATACGCCCTGTATTCTGTATCCGGGCCTTTTAGTGGGCTGCAATAGGGAGGCCAACAGATGACTAGACGACCCGATATTACCTTATATTAGTGGCTGGTTGGTAACCAAGAGGTTCTTTTGACTCCGCTCCTTTGAACGTTTCCTATGAAACCCGCGATTAAAGATGAACGTTCCAGAATCGACTTGTGTACTTTGATACAAGGTATCTATCCGATATTGCCTAATTCTAGAGCTCTCGCACGTTCTAGTTACTTGCTAGGCTGAGCAATGATTTCAAAGATGTTTAAAAGCTCCAGTATTTTGTTGCCACTTTGGCTGAGAAATTGTCAAATAATGCTTATGACATCTACCTACCTTAGGTTGCGGAATCCACGGCTGCGCTTTACGACGTATTTCGTACAACCTCGGCAGTAAACAAAGCGACGGTGCCGCTATGGAATCATAATCTCAGTCACCTGTAATGGTTTGTGAACAGATGTTCTGAGCCTAATTGCGGCGTACGGCTTACCGGCACAGCTTTCGTCAGGCACCTAGTCAACATCGGGCGCTTAAGCAGGGTTGTGATGCCTTGCAGCTAGGTCGTTGCTTGGGCTTAAAGACTGGTCAACATGGGGAATCATGGATATCAAAAGTCTGCATTTATCAGGATACAATTTGAAACATGCTCCATACACGCATGTGCCACAGGATCCAATGTGTGCCTTTGTAAATTTCCCTCTTCTACGCCCAAACTTCGCCTTCAGCCGTAATTTCGTACATGACTTGATTATTTACAGTATTTGCACCTCTGTGACTGGGCAACCGCTGAGCCACAGGCAAAACGTCAATGATACCTTGTTGATTGCGTTGACACTACACATCAGGAACAGCATCTGTAATTTGGGGTAGTCGAGAATGACGACTCATGTCCTAGTCATGCTATGATAAACGTTTAATTATAGCATATTGCGCGAGGAGTATCACATTTGCAATACGTAGAGTGGTATGGGTGTACAATGTATGGGGTTGCTCAATACCAGCTTCAGTAGCTCAGCAAGAACATCAGGCCTAAGAAGAAGCCCTGGGAAACCGAATTAACTACGTATGAACGAAAACGCCAGTTGCATCAATACAAGATGGTATGACTACGTGATCAGTAACCTTTTTGCGTTGAGAGCGCATAAAGCTCAAGCTGTAGGGTAAACCGTATATAATCTCGTGGATTGCCAGATTGCCCAACGAATTAGCTTAGCTTGCCGATCTTCAGTGAGATGTCAGATCTTCCTTTATTATGCACCCTGACACCAGATTTGTCTCATTGCAATCACAGTCATTTCCGCCAATATCCAAGCCTTGGCACGAACTGATGTGGGGGTACCACACGGGCGGCCTCACACGCATATGAAGCTTCAAGAGGAACGCGTGGCAACATGTCACTACTCTAAGCCTCCTACGGATCTACATATTCGAAGCTGCTTAGAATAGGCACCCTAACCTAGTTATACTTAAAATAGCTGATATGATTGCTCAGGCAGATTTCAGGTAAAGTTCGCACCGAGTTGATGATAGGAATAGTTATTGGCGGATTACTGTGATTTTGCTAAGACGAAAGATAAGTCAAGACCGGAACTCCTATCCCTTCCCTTGGTGTTCTTGGCTATCTGTGTGTTTTCCTGTTCCCGGATAATTGATAGTATTACACTGCTCCTTCTCTGCTAGTAAAGCACCCTTCTCCTTATTACCACAACCCTAAAATCGAGGAAAGAAATGGACAGAAACTGTTCCATCACAGGCCAACATATCCATGCAAGTAGGGGTTGCTTTCAAGCCCGTGAGATTCCTCAACTTCGATCTCGAAAGGCCTAGGTTGCTCAGATCGTCGACCATGTCCCATGGGCAAAGTGCCTCCCTGCTCCTAGTAGGGGGCGAAACCTCGTCCGCGACCACGGTAGCCACCGCGATAACCACCACCGCGAGGGAAGTTGCCTCGGCCATGAAAGCCTCGGCCACCGCGGAACCCACCGCGACCACGTCCACGGCTCATGCCAGGGACATTGGTACGCTTGGGGGTCACTTTGATGTTGCGGCCCTTGAAGACACTCTCGTTGAGGACAAGAGCCTGGGCGACCAAGCTCGGCTCGGTGAACTCGACATAGGCGTAGCTACAGAGCGATATGTTAGTAATGCTTAAAAAGCTCCCGCGTGCCAACATACCCCTTCGGTTGACCTGTGAACTTATCAAGAAGAATGGTCACTCGGTTGATGGAGCCGCAGCTCTGGAAGTGACTCTGGATATCTTCAGGCGAGGCTGAATAATCGACGTTGCCAACAAAGATACTGCGCGCATCGATGGATTCCTTGTCATCCGCAAGGTCCGCAGATTGCTGCTCCAGAGTTGCTTGCATTTCGCGAAGCTTCTTGGCCTCCTCTTCCATCTCTGCCACGCGGCGCTTCATGGCAGTGATTTCTTCCTAAGGGCGTGGCGTCAGTTTCCTTCTCAAATCCACCTCTTTGCGCGCCTAACACACCTCCTCAGCCCCTGACATCTCAGTTCCTTGCTCATGTTCATTATCGTGCTCGCGGTCATGATCGATCTCGTGCTCGCCCGTAGGCTTCTCGTCTTGCTTGCCAGAATCCGACATGTTGACTGGTTTGAAGGAAAGCTAGTAGTGTCTTTCGCGCGTGATACTTCTACGTGAATCAGTGTCAGTAAAAGGCTGGATGGCTGTTGAGAGGAGCGAATGAACAATGCGCAATCGTTCAACACAGCCTTGACATCATTGTATGAAGGAGCAAAATAGTGCAACGTTGAATGCCAGAAAAAAGAAGAAAATATATGTACCTTTGTGGAACAAACCTTTCGCGATGCAAGTGGGATAAAGAAGTAACAAAACAGGTATAAGAAAAGAAAAGAAAAGCGCGAAGAGGTTTAAAAGTTCGCGAACGACAAAAATGCACGATTAATGAGGTCAAGGCCGGGGTACGCAGCTACCAATTGTACCTTTCATCTAGCGCCTATCCTGAGTCTCGGGCTGCATGAAAGTTCCCTGCAAGTCAGTCCAAAGCTCTGATATTCCTTTGGTAAGTCTCGGACCGAAGATAACCCGACAAGTTGGAGCCGTGAGAGCAAATGACAGATACCTTAGGATTTTACATATGATTATGAAGCAATCTGGCTGTTTCTCTATCATCGACCCTTCGACCTAGGAAGTCATAGGGCTTTGCCATGTACCATGATAGAATGACCAGTCACATACAACCATGCAAGAAGTTTCGTTGGTTCAGAAGGAATAGCTAGAGAATCATCATCATCAAATTTATCGTGTTATGGAAAATGTGGCAATCGCCAGACACAAAATGAAAACCAGACACCCCCAAATGCAATCGTTACGTCCTCCAAACGCCGCCCATGCTCTTCGCTAGTCAATGCGTCCGTCTGTAAACATGCCTCGTTCCATCCCATCCATCTAGTACCCAGTACTCCGAGACAAATATGCTTCATGTTGTTGTGTGTAGAGATAAGGAAATGTGATGATCTCGCTGGATAATCAAGCATGTCGACCACGCTTCCCTCCCTTTTCGAAAGGATCCTTTCCGCTTAGACTGCCGAGATCGAATATTTCCTCAAAGTTCAACTTGCGCTTGCTACCAGCTCGCTGTACCAAATGTCCCGGACCTCTCGGGCAAGATCGACTCGGACCACCCGCAAGCCTAGATTTCGTTGGTCGTGTGGGAGCAGGCACGTCATCGTGAGGTCTTGAGTCAGACAGGTCCAGAGTAGCAATATTCGGGTACGGGTGTGAAGACTGGAAGGTGAAGTTGTCTTGAGACGGGACGACTATCGGCGTAGGCTGTTCGGCAACAGGAGGAATACTCGGTGGTGCGGAGTCGGTTCGCACTTGGTTCGCCGGATGCGGAGGGATAGCCGTTCGAGTGAGTTCAGGTGACGAGGCTGTTTCTGCTTTGTCGACCTCGTCCTCACTCTCAGTGTTCAGAGAGCTGCTTTCACGCCCATCGAGTCTTTCTGTTGCCCATTTCCGGATCTTCCATCCTTCTCCATCACCCAGACCCATGCCCTCTTTATCCAAGAATTGTAAGAGGTCATCGAGGCAATCCTGATATCCATCGGCACGTGCCTTTGACTGTCCTGCAGCTGAGATCTTGTAGAGCTTGGTCACCGACAGGGCGGCTGCCTTGAAGACATCGAGGAGTTGTTCAGGGCTTTCTTGTTGAGCAGGTTGCTTGCCCATGCTACCAGAGACGCCCCTCATAGGCTCCATCGTGATTAAGCGACGAAGGGATGTGGAAAACTGGAAACGAAGAGTCAGATATGTTTGAAAACGTCAAGGGGGAAATCGCCTTACTTGATGGTCAGAGGGGAGTAGTATTGGTATCAGAAGAGACTCCTAGATCGGAGAGAAAATGCTATGTATTCGCGGTACACCAGAGTCAGATAAGTTGGGTATGATGCTCCTGAAGAGCTATGATTTCAAAGACAGTTGGGCAAGGTAAAGGTTGGGGTCACGAAGCGTTTGCCCAGGTCATCCACTCCAACGGAGCACGGGCAGAGCCTGATGGACGGCACTAACCGAGGGGTCGGTACCTGTAGATGTGGGGGGGAATTTCAACCACGTGACTTGACACAACCGTCAGAATTGCGTTTCAACAAACTTACCAGAGTCTCTTTCGATCACGTACTTGTACGAGTCTATAGGATAAGATCACCTTAGGATAATCAATCTGGGTGTTTTCGGATTCACAGTGACTTCCTTACACAAAACCAGTAAGACAAAGTGACGTCGTTAAAAACTATCGGAATATCCTTTCTTCCCTTGCAGCATCGTGGGGCCCACCGCCATTTACAAGGGTCTATGCACGCCGCTAGCCCAGATTGGCCCCCTTCGAGGTGACCGTTTAGATTCTACCCGCCAACACCTTCGCAACAGCATTTACACTTTCTTTTCCAAACCTTCAAGCGACGTGACTGTGTTAAATACATCACATACCCCTCAAAATACACAAAATACGCTACAAGAGCCAACAGACTACTTGCATTGACTTGTGTTTCACATTGCAAGCTATCGAAACGCGTCTTCTGGACGCCAGTCGCGTAAAGAGGTTTATCCTAAACTCGACTCGCAATGGCGCCTCGTTCTCGAGCCAAAGCTGTCGATACTGACGCGTCTATGTCTGACGCGCCGGAGCATCGACAAGAAGAAGAGATGGTGAGTTGCCATGTTCACAAAGTTTTGTTCGTTTGTGGGTGAGAGCTTGTGCTGATGGGTTGTTAAGGAAGTTGACGAGACTCCCGACTACACTGATACCGAGAACCCTAGCACTACTGCTAGCAGCGTCGCCGGAGAGCCTACTGGGGATGGCCGTAGGCGCCGCACAGAAGTCAACCAACTTCGTCGTAGCATTTTTGGAAAGAAGCACGATCGGCTAGGCGAATCCAAGGTATGTCGCACTCCAAGAGAAGGCTATTATACGAAATGATCTAATCGAACCTCTAGGAAGATGACACCATTCGTCGATTTCGATACCTCCTCGGCCTGACCGATCTCTTCCGCCATTTCATCGAGACAAACCCCGACCCCAAGATTCGCGATATCATGACCGAAATCGATCGACAGAATGCCGAATCTGCGCGGGGCAAGAAGGGTGCCGGAAGGCAAGGGGGCGCCACGAGCGAGCGACGTCGGCGTACCGAAGCTGAAGAAGACGCCGAACTCTTGAAAGACGAGAAACACGGCGGCTCCGCTGAGACGGTCTTCCGAGAATCCCCTCCGTTCGTCCACGGCACCATGCGAGACTACCAGGTTGCCGGTCTCAATTGGCTGATTTCCTTGCACGAGAATGGTATTTCTGGTATCCTTGCCGATGAAATGGGTCTTGGAAAGACTCTGCAAACTATTTCATTTCTTGGCTACTTGCGACACATCCTTGATATTACTGGGCCACACTTAGTCATTGTGCCCAAGTCCACGCTCGATAACTGGAAGCGAGAGTTTGCCAAATGGACACCCGAGGTCGATGTTTTGGTGCTTCAGGGTGCCAAAGATGAACGACAGAACCTTATCAACGATCGGCTTGTTGACGAGAAGTTTGATGTTTGCATTACCAGTTACGAAATGGTGCTTCGAGAGAAAGCGCATTTGAAGAAATTTGCTTGGGAGTACATCATCATCGACGAAGTATGTGGTTTTTGGAACAATTGAGAGCTTCATCAGCTAACGAATATCCAGGCGCATCGTATCAAGAACGAAGAGTCATCACTGTCACAGGTTATCCGATTGTTCTCCTCTAGAAACCGATTACTTATTACCGGCACACCGTTACAAAACAACCTGCACGAACTCTGGGCTCTACTGAATTTCTTGCTTCCCGATGTTTTCGGCGACGCTGAAGCATTTGATCAGTGGTTCTCTGGTCAAGACCGCGATCAAGACACGGTCGTACAACAACTACACAAAGTCCTCCGCCCCTTCTTACTGCGCCGCGTGAAGAGCGACGTGGAGAAGAGTCTGTTGCCAAAGAAAGAGGTTAATGTTTATCTTGGCATGTCGGAGATGCAGATTAAATGGTATCAGAAGATTCTGGAGAAAGATATTGATGCTGTTAACGGCGCCGGTGGCAAACGAGAGTCAAAGACACGACTACTCAATATCGTGATGCAGCTTCGAAAATGCTGTAACCACCCCTATCTGTTCGAAGGCGCCGAGCCAGGACCCCCTTACACAACCGATGAGCATTTGGTTTACAATGCTGGCAAGATGGCAGTCCTTGACAAACTCCTCAAGCGGCTCCAGAAGCAGGGAAGTCGCGTTCTCATCTTCTCTCAAATGAGCCGATTATTGGATATTCTCGAAGACTATTGTGTCTTCCGAGAGTACAAATATTGTCGAATCGATGGTGGCACAGCACATGAAGATCGAATTGCTGCCATTGACGAATACAACAAACCTGGTTCGGAGAAGTTTGTCTTCCTCCTCACAACTCGTGCCGGTGGTCTGGGCATTAACTTGACAACTGCCGATATTGTTATTCTCTATGACAGTGATTGGAATCCTCAAGCTGATCTTCAGGCTATGGATCGAGCCCATCGTATTGGCCAGACTAAGCAGGTTGTTGTATACAGATTTGTCACGGATAACGCCATCGAAGAAAAGGTTTTGGAGAGAGCTGCCCAGAAGCTACGACTAGATCAACTAGTTATCCAGCAAGGCCGTGCCCAACAAGCCGCTAAAGCTGCAGCCAACAAGGACGAGCTTCTTTCCATGATCCAGCACGGTGCTGAGAAGGTCTTTCAGTCTAAGGGACCTACCGGCAATATGGCCTCCAAGGACGGCGAAGTTGGTGATGACGATATCGACGAGATCCTTGCAAAAGGCGAAAACCGAACAAAGGAGCTGAACGCAAAATATGAGAAGCTGGGAATCGATGATCTGCAAAAGTTCACCTCAGAGTCTGCCTACGAATGGAATGGCGAGAACTTTGCCAACACAAAGAAGAACATCAACATGACCTGGATCAACCCGGCCAAGCGAGAGCGAAAGGAACAGTCATACTCAATGGATAAGTACTTCCGACAAACTATGTATCCCAACCCCAAGGCCGATGCTAAGCCAAAGGCACCCCGAGCACCAAAGCAAGTTCCTGTTCATGACTACCAATTTTACCCCCCACGCCTGCGAGATCTCCAAGATAGGGAGACTGCTTACTATCGGAAGGAAATTGGGTATAAGGTTCCTCTACCTGACGGTGACGAAGAAAATCTTGAAGAGCGAGAGGCCGAAAGAGCCCTCGACCAGCAGGAGATTGACAATGCTACACCTTTGACTGAGGAAGAGAGGGAGGAAAAAGAGAAGTTATCGCTACAAGGTTTTGGAGACTGGAACAAACGGGACTTTCAGCAGTTTGTCAACGGATCAGGCAAATACGGGCGAACTGACTACGAAGGCATCTCTAACGAGATCGACAGCAAGTCAGCCCCAGAAATCAAGGCTTATGCAAAGGTCTTTTGGCAACGCTATACCGAGATCGCCGACTACCC